ATAACCAGTTCGAAAAAAAACACAACAACGAAGCAACAAAAAATCAAAAGTTTTTCTTCTCTCCTCTGTCCTCAAAAGCGATAACTCTTTTCTCCAAAAATCTCTGATTTTATTTATTACGGGCAATCGTCTTCATCTGAGAAGCAGCTCTATACTCTTGCCCGAGTACAGAGGCCGATCGTTTCTGGGGGCTTTTACCGTTAGGGGAGAAGGGATCAACTGCGCCAGGACGATAGGCGGGTTCTCAGTTTTCTAGGGCAGTGCAATGCTTTGCGCGACTGCTACCCGTATCAGGCCAGTTTTGTTAAATTTATTTTTCAGATTTATATGCATGCCAATAAGTTTATTTTTAACAACATTTTTAAGGCCACATGTCCTTATCTACCTCAAACGTTATATAATTACTAATTAGTTGGGTGGTTAGGATGCAAAGCTCCATCAGCAATAATAAGTGAACTGGTCGCTTGTTGGTTACGGTCAAAGCAAGACTTAAAACGGTATATTCCAAATTTACAATTTATTATTATTATTATTAAAGAGAAGAAGACTTATCAACTGCCCTTAGCTGCAATTTAGAATCCAATAATGTAGTTAGCTTAGAATAACTTCATCCTTTTGTTCCACAGTGATCATTTATAGTAATTCAAATCCGTGTCCTTATTAAGCTGTTGCCGCTGCTTTAAACATAGCCTAAAAATAACATTATAGAGCAAAGCTCAGTAGCTCAGCTGCTGCAGTTGGACACGCGTCAACCAATCCAGAGGTCAAGAATATTCTTATACTCGGTTGCTTCCACAAAAATACAAACCAACAGCACTTGTTGAGAGCAGCAAACATAATAATAATAACAATAATAAAACAGGTAACAGCTGAAAAAATAAGCTCAAATTACGAACCAAAAGTATCAATAAGAATCATGATGGCATACAATCTTGGCTTTTATTGTCTCTCATGAAGTTCTTCTCTCAAATTCCAAAAGAGAATCCCAAATGGAGAGAAGCAGAAGTGCTCATTCAAGCAGTAGCAGCAGAGGAAGCTGCAGCACAAGAGAAAATGAAGAATATTTTGAGAGGGTTTATGTTGCCATGAAAAAAGAGCTCAAGGAGGGGAAATCTACCCTGCTCTGGCTTTTACAGAACGCTGACAGAGAGAGGAAGAAGATCGTGATCACTCATGTTCACATCCCTGCAAACATGATCCCTTTGAGTACGTACTCATGCCTAATTCTTTAAATTTCTAGCTTTAATTATGAGAAAAATGCTGAACATAGTTCAATGACGCATGTTGTGTCGCAAAGTGCGAGGAACCCATTTTTGTTGATTTTGTAGAATTTAGTGAATACCCGTGATTAGATAGTCCCTGTATATCTCATTTAAGGTGCTTGCTTTTTGGTTAAATCATCGAAGGAAGCCTGAAATGCCTTCGTGAGGTTTATCCTTGATGATTGATTAAGATGCTGGCTGATATGAAGGTTTCACTTCACCTAAGAGCTGTAAATGATGTCACTAGTCTTTGCCTTTGATTTGTTTAATTGATATATACAGATGCCCATTAAACTGTTCCAATGATTCTATGGATGTTCTCTATGATGCCTAACTGTACTTGTTAATTAGAAATGAAAACGGCCATCTGTGCCTTGAATTACACAGGGTCAAAAGATATCAGTCTTTATTCCTCATTAAGATTAAGGAGCGGGCATGCAGCGCATATTTGAGCAAGTATGCAGCTCAAAATGTGTTAGTTTCCCACTCAATGCATCTTGTTATTTATTCCACCGGTGTAACTTAATTGTCTATAAAGTTTGCAACAATGAAGAAAAGCTAAACTAATACGCTGAAGAAAAAAGCTCGTGCCTGTTTCTCGCTCTAATGGCATGTTTTTTTAATTGCTCGTCATGTTAAAAATGAATATAATTACTCTATAATAAGGTCCCGGATGGGGTAGAGTGAATCCCCTTCGTAGTTCCTTGATAGTAATTGTAGCTTCAACTATATCCATTTTTAATTTTATTTCAGTGGGGAGCAAATTTCCTGCAAGCGAGGTAAACCAGCTGGTGGTCGAAGAATACAGAAAGCATGAGTGGGAGAAGATGCACAAAAGTTTAGATGATTACATGACCGTGTGCTCACGACAAAAGGTTCATTTACTTCTTGTTAAACCTGTACTCCTCTCGGTCTATATGCTCATATTTGGCCTTTTTTGTGTTTGGAAAAAGAAGAATCAAAAATTCTAATAAGATTAAATTAAATAGAGAAAAAAAATAGCAACGGTACTGTAAGTTTTGACCCATGAATGTTTTGTTAACCTCTCCTTTTTATCAGGTACAAACTGAGAAGCTTGTGATTGAGGCAGATGATGCTGCAAAAGGGCTTATAGAGCTTATAGCTCGTCATGGTATTGTCGAGCTCGTGATGGGCGCAGCAGCAGACAAGCATTTTTCAAGGTGTGAATATCATATCATTGCCCATGATATATTTGTAATTAAAAATCTAGTTTTATTCTCATAAAATATTTCTGATTAGGATGCTGACTGAATTAGTAAAGACATCTCACCTTACACTAATGCTACTTTCGTGTTTCGAAATTTTTGACTGAATATAATTGTTGTCACACGAACTAGCATCGAAAATTAAGTTTGTAATTCCATAACTTTGATCATTGAGTTCATGCTACCTTTGATATGGATAGCACCCAGATGTTACTGGTAACCACATTAAACAGCGTAAAAAAAATGAAAGCTTAGTATTCCTGTTACTTAGTTTTCCTGTCCTCAGTTTGTTAGTTTGGGTGTAGACCAAACTCACCTCCGTCCGGCGAGGAGCTCCGACGAGCTCGGAGATGACGCAAGCGAAGTAGACGGAGAACCCCCAGGCGAACGCTGACCTGACCTTGGCGTTTTGGCGAGCTCTGCGTTTTGGCGATGGCGAGCTCTGCGTTTGGCGATGGCGAGCTCTGCGTTTGGGGGGGGGTCCGACCTCTGCGTTCGGGGCCTGCGAACTTGGCGTCAAAGAAGGACGCTCGCGTGGCTGGCGACAGGCTGTCGCCAGCCTGTCATTTCCCCCTTCTCCGATTTTTCTCTGGCGGCGAAGCCCTAAAACGCAGTCGCGTTTCCAATTAAATCACAGCAGTGATTTCATTCATCTCCAGCTCTCAAATTGTTTTTGAGGGGAGATTAAGAAGTGGGTTAAAGAAGAGAGAGAGAGATCATTAAAGAGGGGTTTATTATTTGTGGGTTGATTATTTTATCTCAAGTGAGAATTGAAAGGGTTCATACCCTTTAATTATTAACACTGTAGCTACAGTGTTTATTTGAGAAATCTCAGTTTTGAGATCTGCTCCTAAATTATAATTTCTTGTTTGATTAATAAGAAATTATCTGTGTGGCTCCCGAGGACGTAGGCAGTTGCCGAACCTCGTAAATCTTGGTGTACTTTTTCTATACTGCGTTTCTGTTGCATTAGGGGTTTCAGCGTTCAATTCCCAACACAGTTTTGGATTGAAATTCTCATGAAGTTTTTTAGTTCACAGAAGACTGAAAGTTCCCAATTCAAAGACCGCAATCACTGTGGGAAAACAAGCTGAGCTATCATGTAACATATGGTTTGTTTGTAAAGGAACCCTCGTCTGCACAAGGTAAGCTTAGATTTTTCGGAGTTTCCCTTTTCAGTTATTCATTTTCTCTTTACATATATAACCTTTGCACTTTAATATTGGCGTATTCATTTCTTCTTTTCTCGTCCATTTCTTCCGAGGAGTTTTCATCTTGATCAATTAACAAATGAATGGTTAGGACAATTTAGTTACGTAATTGCCCGTGTGTACTTAAATGTCAATGACATCCGATAGCTTGATGATATCTGGTATGTCAGTCTTTTACATGGTTGTTAATATATTCTCTTTCTTGGAGCCTCGATGTCGAAGTGAATCAATGATATTTTCTTGATTTGTTTGCGTGATATGTTGATGAACTGTCATTGGGAGTTTCTTGAGTTGTCCTAAAGTAAGATGTTCTGAATGTCTGAGCCTCCGAGCGACACATCAAATATTAGTGTCCAAGAAACATTAATGCCTATCCAATCGAACTTAGTCAATTAATTGATCAGATATTGATTCTCTAGGACCATTATCAAGCATGAGTTTCCTACTTGAGCCTGTGATAATGTTAAATGCTTAATATTTGACATGTGTATACCCGGTTCCTATTATTTCTTGCATAGTGCCTATATAAATATGATAGTTTCCTCTTGAATTCCTCATTCTTAGGACTTATTGAATTCTTTTTTTTTTCTTTTGCTAAGGACTTTCTTTTTTTTTTAAATAATTCTTTCGGTAAGCTAGGTGCTCATAATTTCTATAGGGAAGCTCTTCTAGACATGTCTGAGAGGATACCGCCTCCCGCGACAACCATGAGCTCTTTATCAAGCCAATCCGAACTCTTGACATCAAGATCTACGCCTCTAGATCAGCCTGCGCCAACGAGGTCTGGTGTCGATCATGGGCATGACCATTATTTTGCCAGGCATAGATCAAAGACCGACAACTTTGGTTCACATGGAGGAGAACTTACAACTACATTATCCCATTCTCTCTTAGTAATCGATGGAATGTACAACTTGAGTTCATTGTCTATTGATGAAATGAACGTTGAATTTTACAAGGAGTCTCTTAAGCGTCAGAAAGCAGAGAGGAATGCGATTGAGGCTCTACGAAGGGTGAGGCTTTGCAACTTTTTTTCAACTTTGCGGGCATAAATTCTATGATTCGTTTACTTAAGGAGATCTTGAGTCTAATCATAAATTCAGGAATCAAACCTCACTGATGATAAAGCTTGCTCGCAGGCAAAAACATCCGAGGATTTATATGCCAAGGAGGTGAACAGAAGGAAAGAGATTGAGGAAGCACTGGCAAGAGAAAAATTGGAAGTCAAAATGCTCGAGAACCAGAATAGGAAAATCCTGGAGCAACTTCAGACGGCAAACAAGAAAAATCAAGAATTGGAACCTCGCATTGCCGATTCTGATAGCGTATCCAAGAAATGTTGTGCAAATGGTAACCAGAGCCTAAGTTGTAGTAGCACCACTTACACCCTCTTATCCGAAAATTATGTAAATAGATGATTTTTTTTTTCTGTTTTTCTCAAAAATTTTATGTGATCGAATAATTGTTTAAGGGGCTGTTTGGTTCGTTTTTTAACTTGGTGGAAAAGTTTTACACCGCCTCCACATCAGGTTTTTCATGGCCACGTAGGATATAAGCTTTCCGTCGGGTTTTTTCCCCATCTTTGGTTCGCTAGGGTTAAAGAAGGAAAACTCGGTGAAAATCGCCGCCACATCAGATTTTTTTTTCTCTCCCAATTCTTTCCTTAACCTCGTGAAATTGACGAAAACTACAGCCACGTCGGCTTTTTGCCATTTAAACAAATGTTTTTCCTTTTTTTCCATGCGAACCAAACACAAGAAAAATAAATACATTGGTTTCCCACCATTTTTTTGTGTGAACCAAAGCGAAACAATCTATTTCTTGGAAAAGTTTGGAAAACTCAAAACTTGTGTTTTTGTACATGGAAATGTATTTCCCTATATCTAGGAAACTCAAAACTTGTGTTTTTGTACATGGAAATGTATTTCCCTATATCTAGGAAACGAACCAAACAACCCCTAAATAAACCAGTTGAAACTACGTTTACAGTTGGAGTTCTGTGGCACCTGAAACAACTGAACTCGAATTCACTTTTAATATTGAGTTCACTTTTTCCAGGCTAATATGACTAAGGGCCCGTTTGGAAGGGGTATTTTGCCCCGAAAATTGTGAGGAAAGCTATCAAAATGATAGTTTTTTGACAGCTTTCCCTCAAAATCGCTTTTTTAGGGGCCCGTTTGGATAGGTATTTTGTCCCGAAAATTGGGAGGAAAGCTGCCAAAATGGCAGTTTTTTGACAGCTTTCGCAACCGGCCTCTTTAGGGCCCGTTTGGATGGGGTATTTTGTCCCGAAAATTGGAGGAAAGCTGCCAAAATACGCCATCCAAACGGGGCCTCTTAGAGGCCCGTTTGGATGGGGTATTTTGACAGCTTTCCTCCCAATTTTCGGGGCAAAATACCCCATCCAAACGGGCTCTAGACGATTTTGAGGGAAAGCTGCCAAAAAACTACCATTTTAGCAGCTTTATTCTCAATTTTCGGGGCAAAATACCCTACACAAACGGGGCCTAAGGCTACACCTAGCTGGACGTGGTATTATACTTGGGGGAGTGTATTTTATATATTAACTAGAAAATCTGCAGGTTGATTTGATTTAATTTAAAATAAGCAATATCATACAACTAAGCTAATTGGCTCACCTGGTTTCAGTTGGCCACGCGTCAACTAATACAAAGGTCCACTGGGTTGCTTCTGCAAAAGTACAAACCGACAAGATTTTAGTATTAAAAACATAAAAATATAAGGGTCTTTACGATATTGGTCCCTTACATCTTTATTATTCTGAAGCTGCCCCTCAATTCTTAGAAATTGCTATTGGATCCCTCATTTCTTAAGTTATTCTGAAATTAATCTCTCAAATTAAGAAATCACTATTAAATTAATCCTCAAATCAAGAAATCACTGTTAGGACCTCCTAATTCTTAAGTTATTATGAAAGATGCCCCACATCCAAGAGCGGAAATAGCAACTAGAGAGAAGTTGGTCTTCAAAATCATTAAAATTGCTATTAGATTCTGAAATTCTCATAAGTTGTTTCAATTGCTCTCTATGGTTCTTACTTATACTCTTGATTGGAGGGGCTAAAATAACTTCAGAATTGGGGGGCCTAGTAGCAATTTCAAGGACTTAAGTGACTTCTTTTAAAATAACTTGAGAGTGAAGGCCCTAGTCGCAATTTCTAAGATTTCAGAGATCAATTTCAAATGAAAGATGTGAGGGACTAGTATCAAAGAAACTCTAATAATAATAATAATAAAACAAATGGCAGTTAAATAAATAAGCTCAAAAAACCTTTTAAGAACCAAAAAGGTCAATAAAATTTTGATGGCCTATAATCTTTATAGTCTCTTATAATCCTCTTCTCTCAAATTCCACAATAGAATCCCAAATGGAGAGAAGCAGAAGTGCTCATTCAAGCAGTAGCAGCAGAGGAAGCAGCAGCACAAGAGAAACTGAAGAATATTTTGAAAGGGTTTATGTTGCCGTGAAAAAAGGGATCAAGGAGGGGAAATCTACCCTGCTCTGGCTCCTACAGAACACTGACAGAGAGAGGAAGAAGATTGTGATCACTCATGTTCACATACCTGCAAACATGATTCCTTTGAGTATGTTTGCTTTGTCTTGCTCCTTAATTTTTCTATCTGTTCTTGTTTTAATTATGAGAAAAGATTGTTGCCCATGAATTTACATATGCAATTTGTTTTTTTATACAAAAGATGGTTCAATGATGCATATTGTGCCGAAAAGTAGATGGAACTCATTCCAGCAATGATTTTGTTGAACTTGTAGATTTAGTAACACGTACCCATGATTTCGTAGTCCTTGCCTGTCTCATTTAAATTGGATCGAGAATCGAAGAAAGGTGATTTCTTTTTTCTTTTCTTCTTCTTCTTGGGTGTCCCTTTGAAACTAAACTAAAGAGCTGTAAATGATGTCACAAGTCTGTACTTAAAAGACTTTTTTTTTTTTTTTTGATATATACAGTCATGCCCATTAAACTGTTCCAGCGATTCTTTGGATATTCTCGAAGTAATACCTAATCATCTCTCCTTGACAAAAAATATAAAAAGCCCATAAATTATAATTTAGGGGCAAAGACAGGTTCTTACTCCACATTAATGTATGATAATGGGCATGTAGCATGTTAGTTTGGCAAGTATCGCGTCCAATATTATTGCGTCGACTTCAGGTTTACATCTAGCTCTAGCAGTTCCTACAGTACAATGATGTTAAACTCTCAAACCTGAGGCAAACCTGAGGCAATCCATCTTATGCGAAATATGCCCTTTATCCCAAATAGCCCCTTTATGACTGTCTCTGCTCTCTAAATTTTGTGGGCTTTTGCAACCTTTATGGCTTACTGCAACTTGATTCAAAATGTGTAGTGTTTCCACTCAATGCATATGTTGTCAAATGTATTCCACTGGTTTGATCGATGAGGTGCTGGTTGAGGCACCACCTCATTTCGCCACTGAGTTAGTGTTTAGTTGTGCTAGAATAGATCGGGGGTCCGATTAGAGATTTGTGAAGTGTCTCACATCTATCAATTTCCAGTCGGCTAGATATAGCGAACGTAAGAGATGCTGAGATTTCATTGGAAAGATACTTAGATTGTTACATTATTAAAGATATTTCAGCTCACAAATCAAACAGCATTAATTTTCTTGTGCTAAGCATATTTGTGTATGTAGTCTATCTCTTTTCATGGGCCCTTGCAACCTAACACCTCATCCCCACAGCCAGTCCCTAAAAAGAATAAAAGCTCAAGAAAAAAGCCTACTCCTGTTTCTTTCTTTTGTGGCATATTTACTTATGTACAACTTGTTTCCTTTCACGTCGAACATGTTGTCTTTGTTAAATGACCCAACCATTACACCAAGAATCCGAAGTTGCGGTAAGGGTTGAGGGTTATAGTTTTATGTTCTAACATGCTCCTGTTGGTTGAAGACCCTTTTTATGGGCAGAAACCTGGACTCACGTAGCAGTATCAGTTTTTAATAGCAACTTAGAAATTTGTGACCAACAATATTTGAATCCGGGCGCTCTAATACAATATTAAATGACCCAACCATTACACCAAGATTTCGAAGTTGTGGGGGTCATAGTTTTATATTCTAACAGTCCTAATATCGCATCATGTTAAAAGTGGATATATGTGCTCTATCATATTGTCCCAAGATGGATTTAAAATCCTTAATCTGTAGTTGAAGATGCAGCTTCAACTATGTCCATTTTTAATTTTAATTTCAGTGGGGAGCAAGTTTCCTGCAAACGAGGTAAACCACCAGGTGGTCAAAGAATACAGACAGCATGAGTGGGAGAAGACGCACAAGCTTTTAGATGATTACACGACTGTGTGCTCAGAACTAAAGGTTCATTTGCTTCTTCTTCTTAAACCTACATTTTCCTTGTCCTTGAGTAGTTGTTGACTTAATCTGCCAGAGATGCTCATATCTACCTTTTTATCTTTCTTTTTTTCGGGGCGGGGGGGGGGGGGGGGGGGGGGGTTTCA